GCTACAATTTAGAAGGAGGAATGACTGGATTTGACAGACAAGAGACCAAACTGCAAACCTTCTGTAACACACCCTTCTCCCTTCTCATGAAGTTGACATTTTTTATCCTAAGAAGTGCCGCGCGCATTTTTTGAGTGGAGATTGGTTTAACATAATTATTGGCTGAACTGAAAATTTATTTCATTAGAACTAATATATTCAAGTCAGCAATTGTCACTCAACATTGTCCTCTACGACAGAATTAACTTTTCCTCGCAACCAAAGAAAGATTTCGAAGGAATATCCAACAAGAAACAAATACAGGATAAGATTTAGCATTTACCAAATGTAGAAAACTAAAGGTCGCTCTTCGATCGTTCATCTTCAGAAAATGTCTTTTTAAACTTCCTTTAAAAAATCGAGGATCCATTTTCTGGCTTTGGCGTTCAAGAGTAAAAAGGTTTTCGGTTTCTTAAAAACCCTCATGCGCGTCGGTGAGTAAATGAAAACAACAACTTGGTAGTAAATCGATAACGTTATCAAATATAGCTTGATAACGCAAGGCAAACTACCGAAGCTAATTTGAATTTTAAACGGTTTTTTAGTCTTCTTTTTGCTCAGACCAACGGATTACACTCAAAACGATAACCTTAAAAAGATGGATGACAGATGGTAACCTACCTTGATCTACTTGTTGTTGATAATCACCTCATTGTTCGTAAATCAACTTAGCTAAGCAGCTGATGGAGGACGGTATCTTCAAACAGAGTAAGTGGTAGCTCTGCCTCAAATAACAGGATCTGCGAGTAGCATTTTTATCACCAATGTAACACTTTTAGTGAGCTATTCGAAGTAAGACTAACCAAGAGCAAAATGTTCTCGCAAACCAATGTAACGCAACGAGAGCAGGGAACTTTCACACACAAGAATATGTTTTGAATAGTTCATGGTTTTGTATTTTTAAAAAAACTGCTATTGATTTCCTCTCCATTTTATAAATAATGAAGCACTTTGGCGAACCGAGTCGTATACCGTTATATTGAAAATCGGTAAATGCACAATAATTGTCCGTCGAAGAAAAAAAAATTCGTATTTTATTCGTAATTTCACGCGCGCTATGTTAGGATAAGAATTATAAAATAATTCAAATAGTACGCGCGCTCTGATTGGCCATAAAGCCATTTTACATGAGCGTATGTAAACCCGGTTTTCGTTCCTCTTTCATTAGTTATTTTATAAAAGAAATGTAAAATGGTTTCCGTGTTTACATAGCCTGATGTAAACATACGGGAGGTTGGGAGAACACTCGATAAGCTGGATAAACTAGAGAAGTTTGGACAGCACTCAAAAAGAAAGACAGGTAATTTAGTGTTAACAACTGGGTTGAAAACGTAAATTAGCCACCG